AGTTTTTTCATATTTTTTTGTTTGAAGTGTTTGTGATATAATTTTTCTATCTTTATGTTATAGTTTCTTCAGTTCAACAACAAACAATTCTTCTATATGCTTCCTTATTTACCACCGATGCCAAAATAGTTTGTTTACCATGAATCAAGCCAAAATAGGGTTGCCTATTATTTTATTGATGTAAAATCACGATCAATCAATTTATATGAAAATATTACAATCCCATTTTGTTTCTGATCATTTACACAATGTAATAAAAGAAATAAATGGAATCTATGGTTTCTTTAGCTTTGGGTTCATTTAATAAGTGAAGTTTTTCGAATCGTTTTCTAAGAATTTTGAATTATACGCATTTATTAGCACACCACAATATCTTGTAATTTTGTGGTAGTTCATAGAATTTCGAAGTTCCTTGCTAAAGGTAGAATAAGTGGTAATTTGGCAGGTGCTTATATCAATTTTGAACTTCAAAATTCCATGGACCATGATACTGAACCCGGAAAACAATATCGATCCAATATTTTAGATTATCTATTTCCAAGGAGTTTAGAATTTTTTGGGTTCTCTTCACTTAAAGAATTAGAAGACATTAATGGAATGTATCTTTGTCCCTTTTTTAAGCTTCTAATACCTTGAATGGTCAATGTGAGCAACATTCATTCATCGTTTTATATAATGTTTGATCGGTGATACTAGCAAAACTTTTAATCGCAAAAATGTATTTTGCATTTTACAAATAAAAAATACGTTTTGAAAAGTATTTTAAATAAAATGCTTTTCTCAAAAAATATTTAAATGCAAGATAAAAGTAGGTATTTTTTATTTTATATTTACATTTTAAATACAAGTATTTCAAATAAATCTCTGGATATAGGCTGGTAGGACACCTTCTGAAGCATGAAGGGCTAGTTAGAGGCCTATTCAAAGCTAAATGGGAGTTAAGAGGACTAGAGATAGACCTAGATTAGATCAGAAACAGTTAAGTTCTAGTTTTAGGGAAATGCGAAGATTAGGTCAGAATAGGAAAGAATGAAGGTGCGTGTCCAACCAGTTTTCAAACTGATGACCTTATAGTATCCCCTACACAGCTGCTTTTTTGAAACACTTTATTAACTCCAAAAATAGCAAAGAAATGTGTTATGAATAAGCTAATTGGATCACCCCGTATTTACATGTTTATCTTTAGAACGTTGTTGTCAGGTTTGTATCAGCAACACAACACACGTCCTCCACGTTGACCTTGGCAATGGCAAAAGCTTTTCGAGTAGCAGTAATAATTGTTTTTTTAACGGTTGGTCAAAAAGAATTATTATGGCAGAGAGTGGGCACCAGACACAATTATTCCAAGCAACATGCATACATATACATACACTCGCCGACGCACAACTATCACCTTGCGAGATTTGTGGGTGCACGCGCGTTATTTACAGTTTTTTGACAAAATCTCACAAACTCATTTGTCGTACTTGTTATTGCCGACGATTCGTTATAAAAAAAGTGAAATTGTCTACCCAGACGGTCGTTACGCTCTTGTTCATGCATTTTACTTACATCTACACATAAACGACTCAAGATTATGAAAAACGATAGACCAAAATGAAAATATTCTCGAATCCACAATTGTCTTAATAACCGACTGGCATAAGTAGCTACGCATACGTTAGCAGCGTTGTTGTTACACAGATGTGCAGTGGGATAACAATACCCACAGACTTAAGGTTCATAAGTTCATAAATATAACAAGATAATATTTTTCGGTTAGTTTATACAGGGTTCTTAAGTATGATTTCAATTTAAGATTATTTGCCATATGATAATTCGAAGTGGTCTGTATTCTGTCAAAACTGCCAGGCGCGGATCGCGATTTCGATCTTTTTGGATGTCATCAGCGCGTCGCAGACAGCTCCGACAGAACACAGACCAACTTTTACCTGCTGTCTTCACAGCGCGTTTTAGAAAACATCACAAATGGCGCGGTAAACGCCATCTGTAGTACGATGCTACATTTTTAGGATTACGTATTCTCCAACAAGGTCCATTTAAATATATGGATATCTACTTGCCGAAACGAATCCCGGCGTAGCTAATCTCAACGTGATAGGCACGTTACCATAATCGAATAAAATAATTCGAAGTGGTCTGTATTCTGTCGTCTGCGACGTGCTGATGAGATCCAGAAAGATCGAAATCGCGATCCGCGTCTGGCAGTTTCGACAGAATACAGACCACTTCGAATTATTTTATTCGGTTATGGTAACGTGCCTATCACGTTGAGGTTAGCTACGCCGGGATTCGTTTCAGCAAGTAGATATCCACACAATGGACCTTGTTGGAGCATACGTAAATCGTAAAATGTCGCATCGTACTACAGATGGCGTTTACCGCGCCATTTGTGGTTTTTTCTATTATTTGCCATGTCTAATATACACTAGTGGCGAGTTGAAATCTGAGCATAGGTCTATTCTGATACCAGAGATGTGACTTATTTGAAACACTTTCATTTAAAATGCAAATACAAAATAAAATTTATCTTACTCTTTTTTTAAGAAAATATTTTGTATTTTATTCAAAATACTTTTCCAAAGGTATTTTCTATTTGTAAAATGCAAAATACATTTTGCCGTGAAAAGTTTTGCTAGTATCACCGATCAAACATTATATAAAATGATGAACTTTGGCTATTGAAGGTTTTGTAAGTTTGTTTGGGTCACTTTGTTATAGAAGGTTTGAGGAGGACTTAGAAAACGAATAATTAAAACTAGACAACAACAACAACCTATATTTACAACTAAACAACAACTTAACAACAACTGGCGTAAAGAAAGGAGAAGAGAAGAGACTGGTTCTGCTGAAGGCGTAAGACGAACTGATTTGGTATTTTATGAAAAATGAAAAACTGTTCTACAAGGAAGGAATAGAGAGGGTAGTAGATACGAGTAGGGAAGTATTAAAATATGGAAACTTTAAGATAAGAAATACCAAGAATTTGATGACCGGTCAACCACCGAAGAAACCGATTGTAAAAATGTAATTAGGAAGGAATGAAATGTACAGTCGTCATGCGGTTAGTACACGAAAGATGAAATGTTACAGGGATTATAGGAAAGTACAGTAATAGAGTTATTTAAATAAATAAGCAAGATACAATAGATTATTTACAAAAGGAAGGAATTTCTATAGACCCTAGTCGAAAATAGAAAAGAAATATTTTAGATAGGTATTTACAATATGTACACAAAATGAAAACAATTTTAAAACATGTGGTGGATATCGTCACAAAGGTATTAGAAGCTTAAAAAGGGTACAAAGATACTTTCCATGAATGCCTTCTAATTAATTATTTAACTGAAGATCTCAAAAAGTTCTAAACTCTTTGAAAATGGATAATCTGAAGTAGAAATTGTTATCAGCACTACTTATCGTACCTTTAACAAGGAACTACGACATTCTATTAATTACGACAAAACAGCCCGCAAAACCATATCGAATTGTGTAAAACTGAAAACTACAAGATATTGTGGTGTGTTAATAAATACCTATAGTCCAAAATTCTTAAAAAACGATTCGAAAAATATCACTTATTAGATGAATCCAAAACTAAAGAAACTGTGGATTCCATCTCATTCTCTTATTATTATAATGTGTAAAAGGTCAGAAACAAAAAGAGGTTGTAAATATTTTGATATAAAATGATTGATGTTGATTTTACATCAATAAAATTATCTGCAACCCTATTTTGGCTCTGATCTTTCACTCTAAACGAACTATTTTGGCGTCAGTGTCTTTTTTCTAATTAAAACGGATGACAAAGGCAAATAAGGAAGCATATGGAAAAATTATTTGTTGCTGAACTGAAGAAATAACAACATAAGATAGAAAAACTATATCTCGATCATTTCAGAGAAAAATAAGAATAATACTTAATCTTTGCAGCTCGTGATATAACACAAACACCACTTTTAGTCCAGGAAAACTACAATATTTAAAAAATGAGCAAATACCTGCAAGGTTTGCTTAAAAAATATTTTATACTTAAGTAAATCTAGAAAGTATTTTGAAAATACATATTTTGCATTTAGAATTTGAAATACAAAACAAAAATTTATTTGGTACTTTAAATTTGAAATAAATCAAAAAATTATTTGCATTTTGTACTTAAATACTTTTAAAAAACCATTTTGCACATCCCTATCTGTAACATACAAACACCAAAGGGCAGCACACAACGTGATATAAGAAGATTTATATAAATACCTTCGGTCAGCTTCATATAAAATATAAATCCAATGGGATCTTCTATCCCTATTACCTACCTACATACGGACTGAACGTTACATATTTCCGGTGAAAGCCAGTTTACAAGAATTGGGTCAAAAAGTGGTCAAAATAGAGTCATACGATTTATACTATAGATGAATCGGGTATCCGGTTCAGGCGCGGATCCAGCCCTCAAAAAAGATTGTGGTCACAGCCACCCGGAAATAAACGAGTCGGAAAATGAATTCGCTCATAATCCATACAGCGCATTCCTAGAAAGGAGCAGTTTACAAAATATATAACGCCTTAAGCAGGATTTTGTACAATGCAGAAAAAGCCATGTAAAATGTTAGTTTGTTCGGTCATGAAAATTATTAAAAGTAAATGTGTGTTATATTCAGCTCACATTATTACAGGGTGGCGACAGCCTACTTCAACCCGGAGTTCCTCCGTCTAGGCAAGTCTACAAATAATAGTGCACCCTGCATCAAGAGTTAGTCTATATCTACGGTACAGTAAAAGTCCGGTCCTTTGTCGGTAGTTATCTATTATAAGTGTAGGTTATAAACAAATTCTTTTATGATATGTTTTTCGAGTCTAAAAATCTTTTTTAAAAATCCAACCCTTTGGACATTCGACATAACTTGTGTGTTTGTTTGCACATCACAATGTCATATTTAAACCACTGAACCGATTTTGATGAAATTTTTACAAATGATATCAAATTAAATTAAACACTAGTACATATTTTACCCTTTATTTAGGAGTTTATTTAAATTACAAATTCAAGCTTACGTTTCTTATTCGCGAAAACGTCGATAATTTAGTCGATACCCAGGTTCACATCTTACCCATCGTGCCCATAAAAGTGGGACTGCGCTTGATCTTGTTCGGACCAGGCACTTTTTTTAGGATACGGCTGATGGCTCCGAGTACCGAGGCACTGCGGGTAATTCTACCAGAAAAAAAAGAAAACATCAATATGACCGAAATGTTATTATCTCTGTCGCTTGTTAGCATGATTTTGTGAGCTTGCATAATTTTAGTGTTTATACATATTATATATTTCAACAATTTCACCTCAACCTTCTCATTGAAAATCCGTCCACCAAGAGCTAATTTTCATGTGCTTAAACGACTTTTTGAACGGGACTCAATAATTGCTTTGGGACGTTAGTGAGGGTGAATTTTAATGAACATCTCGCCTGAACGAAGATATGCACCATTAACCGTAGTGATTTTGCTGGGTATCTGGCTGGGTACCCGGAATAGGTAATCCGTGTATCTGATACCCAGCAAAATCACTATCCGCTGCATCTCTAGTTTATGCACAGCACCATATTTTGAAACAACACACGCGTATTGAAAGGAGAGAATTGTAGGTAGCAGTCCATAAAAATCACGTTCCTATATAACATGATTTTTGGTCAACAACAAACGATTACCATCGGAACAAGTCGGAAGTTGTCACGAACAGTATTACAATCTTGGGCAGTGCATATGCCGCGCGTGGATTGTTGCTTCACGCGCCATGTAACGGGTTCGGCGCCGCGTGGAGCGGAAAGGCGCGTCCTAACGCATGCTTTGGCTTGTTTTCATGGCGAAGACGGGCGTGGAGATTGACATTGAGTGTAAAAACTCCATTACACAAAGCGTGGATTGACAATCTCCGCGCCGAGTAATGAGTTAAGTATAGGCACACACGCTGCACGAAGATTGCCGCTCTTGCTCGCCGTGTGACATAGCCTTAACATGACCTTTAAATGATTGTTTTCCGCAGTGATACAGCATTATTGTTTATTTTTTTCCGATAAACCGTGAAAAAATGCATGAAGCGATAAGATTTATTGCACTCAAGGTGACCGTTATCGAATGATAACTTATCGGTGATAAACCAATAGTTCCATTGTAAACATTGCTTCCGACAACACCATTTTTGAATAAAAGCTCTTTCAAAGGAAAATAATAGTCATACAAAATATACTTGGTAATGTTAGTAATTGCCTATTGCGAGAACCTCCTTGGCAAAATTTTATCTACTAGTTAATGAAATAAGTGTCTGTATACATATATATTTCATGGAATAGACAATAGGACCACTGTTACATTTTGATTATTTCTTTAGATAGTTTTTGATCATATAGGCTCTTTTAATTCCACACCCTTCCAAACAAAAGTAAGGGCAAGATTGCGGCAACAGTTACTTCGTAGGTGTTGTCTTTTCTTGCCATAACCTTATGATTCTAAGCAATTAAATAAAAAAGAACATTCTAATACATTTCCTTGTTCTAAACGAGTGTTTGTGGTTGAAAACACCAAACTGTACAAATTTCGGACATTGTAGGAAGTTACACAGTTTTTTGGAAAACTTCAGTCGAAATATAAACAAAATTCCTTAATATAGTTCAGAAGCCATCCCATGCATACAAAATGGTCATCGACATTCCAGAACGTTCTCGATCTTTTTGGTCCAGTTCACTCAAGAACATTCTACTTGAGGACAATTCTAGACATTCCAGAACAAGGACCATGCTAGAAATATTCAAGACCATTCCCACTTATTCTTCAAAACTGACGTTTAGTAATCGTTAGACGATTCACAGGCTCACGCCCCACCTAATATTTTGGAAATGACATCACTCAAATCTGACCCTTATTTATTTTACACTCCTGTGACTGAAATTTTTCTGTGGTCAACCACTGTTTCATGAATTTTTTTTTTGAATTTCTCAGTAGAATGGAGTTGTTGTAAAACATTACTTTTAAGATAGTTCTATAGAAAACGTATCTGAGGGACATATCCGGACTGCGAGGTGACCTGTTAAAGGTACCTACTTTGGATATGCTCCTACTAGTGAGTTATTGGGAATTGTAACCTGTCGCTTCGTCTTGTTTTGATTGAAACCTGAGAAGCTACATTAAAAGAAAACTATGTATTAGCATCTCAAACTATCGCCCTGTATTCGCAGTAAGGAATGAACCTTTTCATCTTCATAAAAATATGGACCAATGATGACGCTGGCTAATAATGCCACCCCTGGGGAATGTGATGTTTTTTTGGTGCCACTTCAGTATCAAAAAGTATGCTTGTTGACATGCTTATTTAGGAGAAAGGGAATCTCATCTGGCAAAAGGGGGTATTGAAGCTCGTACACCTCTCAGCACTTCGTTAGCAAACTGCAGTCTCTGAACAACGCCTTTAGGGCTCAATTCCTGTATAATTTGGAATTTGTTCAGACGCAGGATGTAGTATACGATTTGAAGATGTTCCGGGTACTTCTAATTTTATATGTAAAACATTAGACAGCGTTCGAGAAGAGAATTCAGGTTGTCCTGCAACAGACATTCGTGCACCCTCTACGTTTACGGGTTCTCGTGATGTACTAGTCGACCGAATCGTAATTAAGTTAGAGACTGAGTACAAACTATAGGTATGAGGATGCTGTCAAGGGTATCATGTGCCTAAATCTTATTGGCTACTTGTATCCAACACGAGTAGTACGTCATTTACTATGAATCCATAACTACATTTTGAATCGAAAACTATTAACAACTAAATATGCGAGTAAATTAACGTAAATCAGTAAAAGGTTCGTAAATGTAATGAAACTCAAGCTGAAATTAAATTCATCATGACTAAACAATGAAAAGGCGCAAATATCCAACCTCTAGTAACAAGTGTATAGGTATCATTCAACCCCTCCTTCTGAAAAACTTCACTCCCCCCGTCTATAATCACACTTTATACTCCATCCCTATATTATTCCGTAGCCCATGGATAGCACCGATTCACGTGGAGGATAGCGAGCATTTGAACGAGCGCGTAAAACGTTCCTTGATCTCGTTTCGTTGACAGTATACTTCTTCAATGGCGTGTTTGGTGGACTCAACGTTGTTACAGCAATCACGAACAATAGAAGAAAGTCATGAGACTTCATTCCTATCATTTATATGCATTAAAATTAGCTCGCCGAAGAAAAGCTCTCGGCTAGCCCTGTACTTAGGCTTCTGATACTTCAAATACCTCCACAGAAAAATCCTGTTTGTACGGTACAAGTGGTAATTTGCCAAATTACCCAATGGTTGTGATGAAATGAAAAGATGGAGCGTCGAGTTTATTAATTGGTGAAACCTAATGCAAATGAATCCAAATAGTCCTCTTTATTACTTAAAACAAAACATAAGATGAATAGTTTCAATTTCATTTATTTGCTAACTCGACAGTATTCGTTTGGCTCAGACGGAACCATCATCATCAAGAGTATTGTGTTGCTGACAATGGTCCCGCCTGGAGAAAGCCTTAGGTAACTTTTGACGTTTTTGTAAAATACCACAAGAGAAGAATTCCTTCCAAGTCTATCTTCTACGTCACTCTTTAAGTAAATGAATGTTTTCTCTACCAAATTCCGTATCTCGCATATTGTATCCAAGATATAGTATCTACATGTATCAGAGGTTTTATAATGTTGAACTTAATGTCTCTCTCTTTCATATCTATATTTTAATCGTTTGAATTGTCAGAACTTGATGATTTCTATTCCATATATCATTATGATTACAAAAGTTTCATTCAACATCGATCGCAGAATTGTTATGTCGATGCAAAAAGCGCATTGCGTTCGCTAAATGACCCCATGACACCAAAACCTGGATAAGTCTTGTCTAATTGCTACTCTCGAGTATGTTATCTCCCACTTGTTCCTGTAGGGCAAGGGCTGCCGGCGTGACGCTTTGTTAATGAATTTTTATCCACCCTGTATTTACACCTTGAAATAATAAATTTAATATTGTACAATAATAGTATGCCACAATTTCGAAATTATAGTATGCTTTCCACGCGATAAAAATTCTAAATATACAGTAAGTTATTTAGTTAGCCAACTATTAATAAAATATGGTGACCTCGTACATTTTGACATTTGGTTTGATAAACACATAGCAAAAAAATGAATTTATATGTATGTATGTCTATATAGATGTACATACGTCACCGTGAAGGTCGTCGTTTCAATGTCTCGGCCAGACCGTGTTATTATACATTATTCAAGCGTTTTTGCTACAAATACATGTGATTGGTCCCAATGTGACCCTTTCGCCGTGTAAACAATTTTTATGTTTCTATAGGTGCATACTTATCGTTAATACAAAATAATAAATTGCATCTGATTCAATTTCGTGTTTCGTTTTAATTCCACGTTTAGATACCTAAGTAGGTGTACAATACAGTCGATCACTCAACTTTGAGATATTTTTCCATGATATGTAAGTAACTAAAATTGTACAGAGGAGGATGGAAAAAAGGGCGGAAGAACTATTAGGGAAAGATCAATTTGGGTTTAGAAGAAATAGAGGAACGCGGGAGGCCATTCTAGCTTTACGGCTAACAATAGAGAAAACGATAGAAAAAGGAAAGGGTGCGTACATAGGATTTGTAGATTTAGAAAAAGCTTTTGACAATGTTAAATGGGACAAGACGTTAAATATATTTAAAAATGTAGGGATGAGTTACAGAGATAGAAGAGTGATACTTAGTTTGTATAAAGAGCAACAGGCAGTTATAGAGCTAGGGATGCAACGTAGAGAAGTAAATATTAGGAAGGGAGTCAGACAGGGATGCACACTGTCACCGCTACTTTTTAATCTATACATCGACGATGCCATCAACATCATTAAAGACAGTACAACTGTAGGGATAGATGTGCAAGGGCAAAAGATTAGTATGCTTAGATTTGCAGATGATATAGCAGTATTAGCATCTAGCAAGGAGGACCTAGAGATAGCTTTAAATAAAATGTAAGCGGTACTGACAGATCAGTACTGTATGAAAATAAATAAAAGTAAAACTAAAATACTGGTAAGCAAGGGAAGAAAAAATAGGGAAAGAGCAAATATAAAGATAGGAGACGAAAAATTAGAAGAAGTGGTTGATTTTAGATATCTAGGAAGTCAGATAAGTCAGGACGGAAGAAGTAGTAGGGATATAAAGCAGAGGATTGCGCAAGTCGTGTCGCCTTTAATAAAAAGAAGTCACTTCTATGCTCGCGAACGGTATTAGGAATTCGAAAAAGATTGTTAAAGGTGTATGTTTGGAGCGCGGCGTTGTACGGGTGCGAAACATGGACAGTGGGCGCGGCGGAAAAGAAAAGGTTAGAAGCCTTCGAAATGTGGTGTTACAGGTGAATAATGAGGATAACGTGGGTAGAAAAGGTTAGAAATGAAGAGGTATTAGAAAGAATAGGAGAACAGAGGACTCTATGGAAGTCAATAAAACATAGGCGAGATAGGTTGGTAGGACACGTTCTCAGGCATAAAGGTCTAGTCAGAGACATATTAGAGGCGGAAACAGGAGTTAGGAGGGGTAGAGGTAAACCTAGGTTAGATTACAGTTCGCAGATAGTTAAGGATGTGGGTTGTTCTAGTTTTAGGGAAATGCGAAGTTTAACTAGGATAGGAAAGAATGGAGGTACATGTCCAACCAGTCTCAGGACTGACGGGCTTATGATGATGATGATGACGATGATATTGTAAATAACTATAACTCTTGGCCATAGGAACGTAGCTACGAGTAGGCCCAAGAGAAGGTCCATTCAAAGAAACCTCTACAGGGATCTGTAACTGCACCTTAAAACGGTAAGCAGAAAGGCTTGTTTTTAAATAGTATGTTATTAGTCTCGTTTGCCCTGTTAATTGTAAAATTTTATTTTAACAAAGCAACATAAAGGCCATGTTGCACGGCGCATGGAACGGCAATCCACGCGCGGCGTGTACTCTCTGTATACGGCCTCGATGCATTAGTCGGCGCGTGGAATCCCGATCCACGTTCAGTGTGACGAGACTGGCGCAGATTGGAACATGATGGAACGTCTTGATGCATTCGTTCCCGAGCATTGTCGGTAAA